GGCGGCGGCGTGGAGAGAGGCGGGGGCCGAGTGGGCCGCGGTGAAGAGGCTGGCGCGATTTGTGCGGTTTACTGTTCCGTGCTGAACGAAACCAGGCTCGAGCTGTGGAGCAGGCTAGCTCCTTTACGCTCCTCTGAAGCTAGAACTTGCTTCCAGTGTATAGTTTATTCACGGAACATACTTAGAGTAGCCTACTCGTAAGTTTTGTGACACTCTGAAACGCCTTTTAATCCCCCAAACCTGAATTCTCTGATGAGTGCAGAGCTATTTACCTATCTTCATGATAGGTAAATCGTAAAAATTTACCTGTAATCATGAAGGTAGATCTTTATGATAGGAGACTGACATGCAGAGGTAACTGCAGTCCTTTTTGCTATGAACAAATACACAATACAGCAGCCCTGCCGGTGCCCAAGTCACACGCTTGTCATAAGCCTCTGTCATTGTGAACATCCTCCTTACAAAACTGCACCTAATTTTTCTCTAGTTGGATATATTCCCTTTTGGCTCTGGATAAGCACTAGTTTGTGATCCCAGGTACCAGCCTTCTTCAGTTTATCATGGAAGATACATATCATTTTGTGACCATAGCTAATGAGTTTCTCCTGCCTTAAATTTACTTCAGTGCTAGTTGGATGATCCCAGAATAATAAATTTAGTAAAGCTTTGAGGATTGCTGTCTGAAACCATTAATTACATTTCCTCCCCACTGGACCCAAAGCGAAGTCTGAGATGAGACTGTTAGCTACTAGTTGCATTAGTCTTGTATAAACTGTTACTGCCGGTGGGTAGCACTTCTGCCAACTGTATTTCAGTCTCTTTTGAGTCAGACTTCTTCAGTTTTCAGTTTTCTCAGCATTAGTCCTAAAACTAATCACTAGGTCTCTGTCTCATATCTGCTTCAGACTTAAATGTAATGAAGTTGGGCTGGTTGAAGGATGATGACCTAGCCACATACCAATTTGGGCTTTACAAAGTGTATAGCTTATGCCTTTTTTTAACTAGGACCATTTCTCTCTTTTTTTTCTCCAAACAGACCTTAAACCTAGCCGAGTGAATGCTGCCAGTATGAAGTTTAAATCTCACCCCTGACATCACTAGCCTTTGTTATTTGAGCTCATAACTTTCTGAATACACAATTTTCCCAGCCCCTAGAGTTTAGCAAATACAAGCTCAACTAATCTAAACAAATCCTGAATTCTAGTCTGTAATCTTTTAGTAAGTTCTTCAGTCTGGTCTCTTCTAATTCCTTCATTAACATAGATAAGAGGTTCACCCCACAGTAGCTGGCACTAAGCTCCGAAATGTTAGGTATTTTTTATCATCAGCTTTTCTACATTTCGTAAATCCTATTCCTTTGTTCTAGACTTTCACCAGCCAAAGACTAAGTATAGCCTGTGACATTTAGTAGCACAATCCATACCTTAACTGACCTTTTTTCTGACTGATTTGGAAGTCCTTTCTCAGAGTTTTCTAGAGACATGAGCTTACAGTATAACCTGTCTCCTCAACCTTACTTTACCACTACGAACTCTCTCTGCAATCATCTCACCAGCGGCATGTTTAAATCAAGCATGGTGATTTTAGCAGGTACTAGTTTTCTGTTCAAACAGTTCCTACCAACCACAAACAAATGCAGCCTCATGAGCCAAACCAGCACAGGTCATATGCTTCTTAAATCCTCTGACAGGTCTGCCTCAAGAGGCTCCATAGTCAAAAACGCTGGCACCTAACCTTACTGTAACTGTAGCCCAGATACTTGTTCTGAAATTTTTTTTTTCTAAATGTCTGTCATATCAAGCCACAGGGGTAGTCATGGAGGGGAGAAAGTTTCAATGGCAATTTACTCTATTTCTAGAACTCTGAGCCTTGCTGGAGATGATGTAGTTGTACCAGGTGCTCCTTTTCTGCATTTGCCAGCTCTTCATGGGTGTCTTTCTAACCCTAGGGTACTTGGTTAAACTTAAGGTTCCAAGATGTGCAACGACAGCAGCAGGATGACAGTTAACCTGCAGTCGAACTGAAGGGCAAGCTATTACCAACGAAGAGCTGTTGCTTTGTTTTATTGCTGGCTCAAAGTCCAAACTAGGCTGTTCCAGAGCTGGGTTAAGGGGTAGCTAAGAGCTATAGTTCAGGGTTAGAGACCTATTGCAGCTTAGGTGAAAACTGCTGAGGGAACACAAATTGAAGAGATGGTACTAATAAACAGACTCAGCTACTTCTCTTGGCAGGTTTCTAACCTCACTGGGCTATGGTTGGCATGGGGCTAGTTTCAGGGATTAGAGAATGGCAATAAATGAGGCAGTGATCTTACTGGAAAGTGAAGAAAAAGAATGCAGTGGAGGTTGTTGCCCTTATGGGTCCTGACTCTGCTTCTGCTTGCAGTTTATGGAACTTGAAGGATTTTTATTCACTGTTAAATGCTAGATTGCTTGCAATTTCCAAAAAGTAGCTCTTCATACTTAAATTATAACAACTAGAATTCCTTAGATATGACTTTTTTATTAACATGCCAGAATTGTATTCCATGCATTGCTCATATTGTTCACACCATTACACATACAAACACACACGAAAATAAAAAGTATTGAGGTCTGGCAGTTACTCTTGTATTGCAAACACAAGGTTTGTTAGTTTCCTGTATGTGCATAGTTAACTTTATAGCAAGGAATAATGACAGTGTAGTAACTAGGAAAGATTAGATTAATAAGGTGGCAGAACCAAGAGAAAGCGACTAGCTCATGTTAGCATTTGCTAAACCTCTGCTGGTCAGCCCAGTCCTGAAAAGCCTGAACTTAACTAGGGCTGCCTGTGTTCGAAGCCTCTCCCTTTGGGTTGGGACACTGCCTGAGAAAAATTCCCGGGATTGAGTGCCCTCACCTCCTTTGGGTGAGTGATTTCTTCTGGAGATATCCTTGAGTGAGCCCTCGCCCTGCCCCAGGCAAGCTGTTATACCTCTGGGTACCCGTGAGAGGGAGAGAGTTTCCCCTTTGTGAGTGTGTGTGTGTGTGTGTGCATGTGCGTACTTTGCATCATCATTCTGGTGTGTAGTGATGTGTAGTAACACAAGATTGACACCTCAAACCTGTTACGTGTTAAATGTTACCGGAGTGTTGATCAATCTCAAGTTTACCCCTGTTTCTCATTGGTTTTTCTTGTGCAGTTATGGCCATTTTATGAAATAAAGTTGTCTGAGCTTGTTCTTTGGGTTAGTTTTAGTGTACCTCTGTGACACTGGTCCAGTGCCAATGAAAACACTGATGTGGAAATTAATGTTATTGTTCAATTAACTAAGCATAATGTACCAGAAGGTTAGGCCCAGTACATAGGCCTCCATTAACAGTGTTTTAGAACATGTTTGCTTTGATGGCTTTTCCTTCCCTTGCAAACATTTGCTTAACAACATCTGATAACTGTTAGGTAATATTTGCTCTCATATGTAGGTGTAAAGTAGCTGTAAACATTTTATCCGCCCTTCAGTGGACCATCAACATGATTCTTCTTTCTGCATTATTACCAAGAATATATAAAGTTTTTGATAGCGTCTGGTTTTGTATGCCTTGGAAAATAAAATAAATCAAGAAAATATCGATACATTAAAAATTCTTTATATGAACAGAAAGCATTTTAAAGGGGTTTGCTTTGCACTAAGAACTCATTTGATCATGTGAAGGCCAAACCTTGGTTCTATAATACCAAAACAAGATAAAGCTTCGATTTAAAAACTTAATTGCATCCACATTCTGACCATTTTGTACAGATCACTAGTTTTCCTCCCAATTCCATGTACTGAAATACAGCAAATAGTTTCATTTCATATATTACCTCAAGTGACTTTGAAATACTAAGCGCATGACAGCAGCATTTTGGAGTGCTTTGCATAGAAAGGAAGGGGAAAAAAGCTGAGGAAGTATTTCTCGTTTGTTAGTTTAAACGAGTTATTAAATAAAGTATTTCAAGACATGTTTCTCCATCTTTTCTCTGCTGGTTACTGGAGCTAGGAAAGTCTAGTGTCTCAGGCTGTTATCATTGCCAAATATCACAGGCAGGACAAGAGATGACTCACTCACATGTCAGCTGTTGATTGCCTCTTGGATGAAGCAGGATTATGAGCGCTTCCAGGCACAATGAGAACATCCTGAACTGCCTCTCTCTCAGAAACCTGCTTACCTTCAAAAACTTCCTGCTTTCTGTTTTGTAGGCTGTGGATTTGTTGTTTGGGTTTTTTTTAAACGTGACTCTTCTAGTATGTCTGAGATGTGGATGTAGGGGCTTCTGAAACAGAAAGAACGTAGGAGAAAATCAAAGCTTATTTATGTTTGCTGTTAGTCTTCATGATGGCTAAGGTGCTTATCTTTCTATCTATCTAAGCAGAGAGATAATTAGCATATGAATCAGCAGCAAAATCTTTAAAATGAAAATTAGTATCAGGAGGCCTTTAGCATTTATAGTAAAAGATACTTTACTGAAACGTTGCCAAGCCCTACCTTCAAGTGTTATATTAACCAAGTTTCTGGAGAACCAAGGTGTGCCCAAGTGGTTCTGTCTGGAGAAGAGTTCAGCGTGAGCAGATGCAGCACTGTCCCAGTGGGAAACATGGATGGGTGGGTTGATATTTATAAATAAAACAAACATGCAAGAAGTTACTGCAGTGGTCATGCACATCCTGCATCAGAGGTAATTTTTCTGATACTACTGAATAACAATAGTGGCATTAAAGAGGGACTGGAAGGTGATCTATTTTATTACTTGGTAGACTCTCCTGAGGACATTAAATTGTATCTTGATGGAAACTTACTAATTGCAGAATATTTTTCCTAATAAAACAATAGTTATTTAGATTTAACCTCATTACAGTTGCTGTTTTAACTAAGTACTAGAAGCAACATGTCTGTTACTGACCTAGCAACTGACTTGACATTTACACTCATGTTTAAAGCTTTATAAACTAGACTGAAGAAACAGAATAGAACCCCAGATTCTCTACGTTTTTGCATACTAAACCCAGACTTGTATAAAAGAGTGATTTTTATTGTTGTTGTTATTGTAAGTCCCACTTTTCTTTAAAGGAGAGATACTTTTGCAGCAAAAAAAAATGTAGCAAAAGGACATTTTCTCTAGTAATAAGGTATAAAAAGTTATTTGAGAGAGATGTTTCTAAACAAGTAAGTTCTTGGGAAAGAACTGGGAGAGCGAAAATAAGTTCCATCAGCTCATTTATATGACATTTCCCTTGCTGGACACCCTGAAAATGTATAAACTATACAGCTTAGCAAGAAACAAACCTCCCCAGATATTTGCAGCTAAAAAGCTAGGAAATATTTATTGTTGAAATATCCTGAAATTTTGGGTTTGGAAGGATTTTCCTTGAAATCAGGTGATACCAATTGAAGTGAATAATTTAGTCAACGTACAGAAAAATATTACAGTAGTTATTCAGAAGCAGTGCGTAAAATTTTAAATCTGTTTTTAAGGCTTTCTACATGACTCAATGCAAGTGGTAGCAAACATGTAGGATTTAAATCTGCTAAAAAGTTTCTAAAAACAGACTATTAATAGCTAAAGTAAATGTGAGTAGCTCAAGTAAATGTGAGATTGTGTGAGGAAGTGAGGTCTTCTGAGTCCGTTTAATTGTCATGCCTTATTTGTTGACTCTACCCAGTGTTTCCATGTGACTTCCCTGACCACGCATCATAAAGCCTTGTAAGCCGTTAAGTGTCTTCAGCAAAACCAGTTAAGTAGTTCACATCTTTGTCTCCACAGCTTCATTAGTTTAGTTTTAAATGCCATGGAGAAAGCAGTAGGGAAGTGCGCAGTGCATATATTCAGGTGCTTTTGTTTTCTGATTTTGTTTCAGATACACAGATAATCTTTAATAGAAGATATGAATAGGAGAGCCTGATAAAGAACTGGTTATCCTCTTGCTGCTCTGATGATATCAGATGATGGTATCCATTTAATCTCTTGTGGAAAAAAGTTTGTCATGTAGCTACCTCTCAAATGGGCATGATCTTTTCCTATGCTACAGTTATTTGTACTAATATTGATAAATCTGATTGCTAATACATTATTTGCTGTATATTCTTAAAATCCTACTATCTGGCAGAATCTCAGTTTGCTCTTGGCTATTCACCCTGGAGAACCCAACTGTTCCAATTGGGAATACTTCAGGGAAATAAATACTCATAATCATCTGCTCCCAACTTGCTTTGGTTTGCAAAGCAGGTCTCATTTCTGCTAGGCTGGGCAGCAAGAAGGGGACCACAGCAGGCCCGGCTTCAGCTCCTTCTGGCAGAGGTGTGTAGGGCTTGCATCATGTAAGCAATATATGAGAATGGCGATACTGAATGAGATGACTCAGAGGCAAAATTAATCTGCATTGCGTCCTGGATTAACACGGCCTCTTATATGAAGGAAACAATTGTTTCTCAGTGCTTTGAGAATATTGCTTCTTTAAAAATGAATCTAGAGCTCAACAGCATTGTTGATGTACGGATGCTGGTTGTATTTTCTGTGACTGAAAATGTGTTGTGCAAAGTATTAGATGCAGCATGGTAGCCAAATTCTGTTTCAAAGTGAAATGTACAGCTCTAATGACAGTTCTGCAAAGACCAATTATTTGTGTAGTCTTTGTATCCTTTATACAGGCAACACTTAATGAACTATACACATTACTAATGTCCATCCTGCAGAGAAATGGACTGTGAAAAAATTCAAGCAAACATGTTCCAACTGTTCATACAAAGGATTGCGTAAGTCACGCATTGTGTTTCCACAAAACTTTCTCCACAATTTGCTGCTGCTCAGCATGTACTTCACTTAGTTTCCTCCAATTAAAATTTGCAAACAGAAAAGCTTTCCAGTGCTAACAGACTCATGTGTTTTCCCGGAGATTTGGAGCCACGTGTTCCAGGAATGGCTGGGTACACCACACCGATACAATATAAAGGCAACGTCAATCACCTTCTCTCACTTTTTAATACCTCCCTTCCATGGTTCTCATTCTCCATCACTAGAAATTTAAGATTAAAGGAACTTTACTACATTACAAGTACAGTTTAATCCATTAAGATGGATCTCCTTCATAGAAATGGCGTGCTTATCATTCAGCATTTACAGAGGGACTACAGGGCTTACCAGGATTTCCTTAATTTTATGTCACATGTTGGAGATCCCCGGAATATATTCTCAATTTATTTTCCTCTTTGGTTTCAGCTCAACCAAGTGGTTGGTACTAAAATGATATGGGTGGCAGTCATTGGTGATTGGTTCAACCTCATATTTAAATGGTAAGAAGTTGGATTTATTTTAAAATTTGGTATTTTTAATGGTGGTTACTATATGTGCCTCAAGTTTAGAAAACTTTCTGTGAATAATGTACTAGTAGATTTTCCCCTGTAATTATAAACCAGGAATTCACAATGACGATATTTAAGATATGTTTGAAATGACATTTTGATAAGAAAAGAAGTACCTATAGAACTATTATAGAATAGTTTTGGCAATATAGCTCTTCATATTCCTTGTAAGATTATTTATCGTGCTTTGCTGAGGCATTCTTACATAAAAATATTTTTATTGCATTTCTGCTTCATTTTATTTTATTTTTTTGTCAGGATTTTATTTGGCCATCGCCCATACTGGTGGGTGCAAGAAACAATGATTTATCCCAATCAGTCAAGCCCATGCCTTGAACAGTTTCCTATAACATGTGAAACTGGACCAGGTAAGAAATGTTGGAGATTACATTGGTACATTTAATAGAGATAGAGGCTTTTTGGGGGGAGAGGATGTGACTTATGAAGATCTTACATGATATACAAATTTCAGAGCTCATGTCTAAAATAATAGCACCAAAACACAGGAAGAGAAAAAGGAAGAAATAAAATGTGATAGGTATTTGATTGCTGTATGACAAGAATGTTTACTTCATTGCCTTTAAACAGTGCAAGGGAGGGGGATTGCTTTAAAAATACCTCCTACCAGAATGAACCAGCGTATTGGGAAGGAATTTTCACAAAACTTGTGTCACAGGTTCAGAAAGAGTAATATACCTGCTTTGTGAGGTCACTTTTAGGAACAGTGGCAGTGCCAATGACATCATCCTGGGGAGAGAAATTCCACATCGTTTAAGAGTGTTCCAAAACAGAGCAGGAGGCTGTTGGGTTTGACGGCTTGTGCAGTATTGAAAGAATTATTCAAACCACAAAAACTAGTAGGTGGTTCAGTGTAAATAACAATAGTATCAACAACTGATGTGTGTGTGGACGTGTACAAATATATGGGGAAAAAAAATTCCTTAAAAAACTGTACTTTTCCAATGTATTTTCACTTTTTTACATCTCATTGCCTTCTCTGGGGAACTCACATGCAATACTGCTGAAGCTGAATGAGCTTATGCAACCCTAATATGTGAAATAAGGTAAACTTGCTTGGAGCTAACTGACTGAATTTAGTTTAATTCATTGTACACAAAAATCCCGACTGTGGAAATGAATGTGCTTTGCGCCTTGTCAATGCCACTGCAAGCTTTTAAGTGGTTTGCAGAGCTGTATTTTGTTAACAATATCCTGCATTATATCCCATTGTAATTTTGAACAAGAAGCTTAAGCCCTTGTGTGAGGCAGGGTTTAATAATGCCTGGTCTATACGTGACCTGCAGTCAATTTCAAGTTAATTCATTTGGGACTTAACCCAAAGTATTAAGGTCTTTCTGGTCTTTACAAAAGACTTCAGAACTGAGCCCATTCAGCACCATGTAATTCCACACCCTAGCTAAGGAACCAGTGTTTCATTTTGATGCATTGAACCAGAAGGCCTTCCTTTTTGTTACTTTCTTCCTGAAGTAACAAGGCATTCCTATTTCTGTCTTAGTGGGTATCGCGTTCATATCGATTCCTTCTTTCCATTTATAATGACCACATTTTCTCCCACCTCCAGATTTGCTCTTGACCATTGACAATATCTGTCACTCACCTGTTGCAGTCAGTGCAACTGTTAGATGCGCACAGGCACTGTATGAGCTTACATGGTACTTCACACACTTTGAAAATATGCAATTCATATGAAAAGATTAGAGAAGCAGCCAGAGACATGCAAAGGACATATCCAAATATTGCTAGGATAGTCTGAACCCCAAACTCTGCAGCTCAACAAAAGGGAAAGCTGAGGGAACTTTTTATATGACTACATGGCAAGCAATCTAGGATCTGATTTTGGTTTGTACTTCTGGAATGAACTGAACTAAAACCCTGCAGCCATCTTTTCTCTGGTATTTGTAAGGTTTTAAGAACATAAATCTTAAGGTGGAGTTTATGCTGTTTCTAGTAGGCAATTTGCAGATGAACTATGAAACATTTTTCCTAGATGACATTTTCCTGGATGGCAACAAAGAGAAGATTTCCCAATGCTGATAAACAACACTGGTTTCCTTATCAGTGACATTTGTTCTGTTGTGAGGTTTAGACGTGTACATCTGTTACGAAGTTAACCAGAGTTGGTAGTGTGACTACTAAAGATACTGCCAAGCAGAATACTGAAAATGAGTGCAGGGAGCCAGAAATCTTTGTGCTTGTCCTTCCTGCTTTGTTGCCTCACTGAAATAGTCTTTTGCTTTGCAAACTACTATATAGCACTGGCTCATAACACATTCTTCAGCCAAAGTGATTTCTTCTGCCAGTGAAATAACCCTATCCCTTTTACTTCTCTTCTGCCTCCACAGAAAGCCAAGCTGTGAAAGTCTGATATAGACAGATTGCAATGACCTAATTTTCTCTCCTTCCCTCCTTCAACTTGTTGAATGCAAACCTAGAGAACAAGGAAAAAGAAGTGGCAGAGTAATTTTAGGAATCTTTTCCCTTGCATCATGGCAGCATACTTTGGGTTTTGGTGATTTTCACGGTTGTAGGAACTTCTCTGGGGCTTCCTATAATTTCCAGTAAAATTAAATTCATTAAATTCAAACAAATTACACATATAGATTATACCTGGACTAAAAAGAAATCACTGTTGATTGCTACATGAGAGTGTGTTCCCTGTTACAGACTACCATGGGTACAGCAATTAGTCCAATATGTTACAGCATCGTTTCAGGTGCCAGTTCCACTGCTAATCTGTCTCCAAGCTAGCGAACATTGTACACCACCTTGAAATTTATAAAATAAATCAAAGTAGAGCATAAAGACACAGTTCTATCACACTTCAGATACATTTCAAAATTTATTACAAAATTACCTAAAATGTGAACTACCTAGACTGTAATATTACTAATGAGACACAGATCACAATCACAATTGCTAACGCCATGGTAATTGGAGAAGCAGATAAAGGGCGATTTGGAAAGGCCATCTAAAGTACCGTGCTGGTACTTTAATTTAGAATGTTACAAAGAGCTAAATCTCCGTTGCTCCCCTTAATTACAAGGTAGCCCATTCAAAACCTCATCTGACCCTCATATATAACTTCTGCATTGTATGCTACAGCCCTAAGAGAGCCCTAGATGCTCTATTTTTTAAAACACAATCCAAACTAAGTAATGGAAAAATACTGTGCTTTCCAATCAAGATACCAGCTCACAGCAATATAAGATGGTTAAGCTGTTACCTCTTTGCTTTCAGACAAGTATTCTGGATTGCATGTAGGTGAGTGTTCTGAAAAATTCATGTTGAGAAAATTAACTTGTGAGAAGCAGTTGGCATTCTTTCAGCCTTTATTAACCATTTTCTTTTTAAATTATTAGGTGTCTGAGTAACTGCCAGTAGGCATTTTCTGTACAACAAAAGCTACAGTCATAATTTTTAAGCTTGATTATTTCCTTTTTGTTTTTACTAGGAAGCCCATCTGGACATGCCATGGGATCTTCCTGCGTCTGGTATGTAATGGTCACAGCAGCACTTAGCTACACAGTTAGACAGAATGATAAATCAGCAGTTACCCTTCACAGGTCAGTGTGTTTCCATTATTCTAACTCATACAGATATTTTTTTATATATATGCTATGTTTTAATGGAATTATTTTAACTAAATATTCATCGTCTGGTTTGTCCAGTTTATAAAAAAAAAAACCACCAAACAAAAAAACCCCACTCCCCCCCCCAACTTTATTATAATCTACTTCTGCTGAAGAAAAATAATATTAAGAGGATTTACCCATTTGTATAGGTTGGTATTTATTAACTTACAGTCACTGCATACAGTATCTCTGAATTGGCTCCTATTAGAGGTCGTGTCACATCTTCAGTGTTGAAATTTTGAGTTCTATTAGTTGTCTTTACGTGTTGGATCTTTTGGTTAGTACATAAATTTACTGCTTTGACGGTAGTCCTTCTTAGCCCATTTTAAAGCAAATGCGCACAATGTCAGCAAAGTTCAGTGTGTTACTGTGTGACTCAGCTCTGTGGGGAAGTCTTATAATTGCTCTGATGGCTGTTCTTGCCGAGCCTGATGAGGTTGTTCCCATATGATGTGAAATTTGTCACCAAATACTTGAGCTTTTGCATTGAAGTATGACTTCATGATGAGAAATACGTTCAAGGTACTAGTGCTAATTTAACTTGCCATTGACGACTTTCATCACTAAAACCACGGTGGTGTCTTGGACCTGAAATTACTGGGGTCTGTTTCTGCAGCCCTAGATGTGGCTACAAGAGCAACCACTCTTGCTCATGGTTTAGTACTGACTTCCAGATTTCAATCATCTGATTCCAAACTTCCCTACTTGTAAACCTCTGGTAAAAATACGAGCCTGACACTAAGGGGCCTGGTGTAAATTACTAGGCGAAATATCTTGCCTTAATTTTTAAGCATCTTCCTTTTCCCTCTTAGACTGACATGGTCATTCCTCTGGAGTGTTTTTTGGATTATCCAGATCAGTGTGTGCATCTCGAGAGTATTCATAGCAACACATTTCCCTCATCAAGTTATTCTTGGAGTATTTGCTGGTAATGCTGCTATGTTTTATTTTCTTTTCAACTTACATTTGCATGTAACAAATCTGAAAAAAAAAAAAAAAGTATGAGAAAAGGCAAGAGATTTTTAGTATTGCTACTCGGCTTGCAGCTCTAGTGGTGCTCTCCGCTCTCTGGAAGATCAAGGATTTGATGATAGTCTAAAGGTAAAATTTGCGAGGCAGTATGTATTTGCTGCCTTTGTAATTAATTCACACAGGGAGTGAGCCCTTGTCTAGGTGCCAGTTGATGCTGACTGCGTTATGTCCACACCACCACCACTGACTAGTGCTGTCTGGTTTGTACAGGCTGCAGCTGATCTTATCTGTGCTGTCTGGGTGGAAGGGATCAGCGGGGAAGTTGCTCCTATATGGCCCTGACCTTTCCCCTCAGGAGGAAGCTATTTGGTTCGCTTCCAGTGGTGGGCAGGCACAAACCAGCACCTGTGCAGTGCGGACAAGCAGGGAGCCAGGCACCTGGGGCAAAACAGAGAAAAAGGCAAATTAGCAGTGCAGGCTCCCCAGGGTGACTTATGAAGCTGAAGTACATTTTTCAGAGTTACTTAAATGTGTTTCAAATTGGTATTTAGGGAGTTCAAACTATGAACAATCTCTCTGGTATCTATCTGATTTTAAGGAGGGTGACCGGAGCATTGGGCGGGGGCTGCCTGCTCCCATTCTCTTTCCTGGATGCAGGGCAGCCTGGGCAGCCCTGGCTAACAGCTTGCAGTCCAGCTCTCCCTTTTCACAACGAGGATAACATGAGTAAGGGTGTTCTGTGTCTTCTCCTTCAGCACTCAAAGCCTGTGTGGGAACTGGTATTGACCTCTGCATTGCTGGGGGCAGCCTTTGAGGTGTGGACTCTTGGGGAAAAGGAATGGCTTAGTTTACATCTAATATTTGATAGGTTGTCATCCGGGAGATGCAGTCAGGCCCAAGGCAGGCTTCATATCAAAAACATGAAGTGCTTGTCTTTAATGTCTTTTTTTTTTTTTCTGAATTAGTGTTTTTGAGTGGGTGAAAAGGTTTTTTACTGTATGACAGAAGTGGTAAATTGTCTGTGTGTATGTGTATATATACATGTGTGTTTGTACATATAAAAAATACATAGATGTATTCTTCTGTCTTCAAAAGTCAAACTCTACAGGGGCACCGTAAAAAGTGCCGCTTCAAACTACGAGGGTGTTGTTCCCTGTAACACTGAGTTTCTAATCCACAGGCATTCTCGTGGCAGAAGCATTTGAGCATACCCCTGCTATTCAGACAGCAAGCTTGAGAATGTACATCAAGACAAACTTGTTTCTTTTCATCTTTGCCCTTGGCTTTTATCTAGTCCTCAAGCTTCTTGATATTGACTTGCTATGGTCTGTTCCCAAGGCCATGAAGTGGTGCGCCAACCCAGACTGGATAAACATTGACACAACTCCATTTGCCGGACTGGTGAGGAATTTAGGTGCGCTCTTTGGCTTAGGTGTTGGCATTAATTCTGAGATGTTCTTCACGAGCTGCAAAGGTAAAAATAGCTGCAAGCTAAGTTTCCGCATATTGTGTATAGCTGCTTCTTTAGCTACACTGCAGCTGTATAATTTCTTTAAGATACCTACTCACACTGAGTATTTGTTCTACATTCTCTCTTTTTGTAAGAGTGCAGCTATGCCTCTGACTGTAGTTGCCTTGGTTCCATACTGTGTCCACTCATTAATGAGGACAGCTGAAAAGAAACTTAATTAGATAAAGTTTCCAAATGGTTAGCAATGTGGGGATGGGTATGAACTGTTCCAGAACCCTCGGCAAAGGCAGTGTTGCGAACTCATTTTAACCAGGGGGATGCCACTGCCCCTTTGATGTGCTCTTGGTAAGTAACCAGTACCTCCAAAATGAGTACGTTCAAGAATGACTTGGGCAGCTCCGAAATATTAATTGCTGATTTTATTCCTGGAAGTATTGCAACCAGACTGCAGTATGGTTAGAAATGACCCAATACTCTGGGCCATAACAACGTTTTAAAGTATAATCAACTAGTTTTATTTAGCTACGTGGTGGTCTTTTAGTTCTGTCCATCTCCAGCTAGGTGGTGCTTCAAGCCTCAGTTGTATATAGTGATACGCAATATTTAAGTTTTTTATATATAGATACCATGTGTTAAACTGCTAGATAGCGGTGTGACAGTATCACACCACCTACAACTGGCCAGCTGTACCCAGGCACTGTGAAAAAGGCCAGCATGGTTATAAACAAGGCTTTAGATTTAACTTACTGAGCTTCCTGAGCAAAACAGCTTCTGATTAAGCCAGGTGAGAAAAAAAATAAAAGTTTGTTTCTATTAGACTCTGCAGATGTATTTTTGCATCACTGTGATTTTTGTTGTTTTTACTTTTTGAAAGTGGTCACATAAATCATGAATGATACAGATTACACCTTTGATCTTGAAAATGCATAAATACGGTGTAACAAGTCTTTGCGTTCTGTACATCTACACAGAGCAACAAATGAAGAAAGTTGTCAGTAATGAAATTATCTCAGCGTATCACCATGAATGTTGTTCATGCTCCTGTAACGCAAAGGTAAATTAGTCTAATTCTCTCATTTCACGAGTCACACGCCTGAATCACTGTTCGTAGTTGTGTAAATCATGAAAATGTGATTGCAGACTAAGTCATTGCACGGTTATATTCTTGTCACCTTGGTTTACCTAAGCACACAAGTACCTAGTATGTTACATATGTGGTTGCTATATAAAACGGATGCTCTAAATAGGCAAAGGCAGCTACTTTCCCCTTTTTATTCATTATTTAGCACCTACTGTTGCATATTGCCTTTCGGTGCACAATCTTTAAGCAACATTTCGCTGATACCATCTCATAATACTTAGTGTACAAGCAGCATAAAGCTGTGCTATGGATAATGAGGGCTGTGTGTGTGTGAGATCTGACTTAGGCTTAGATGATGTAAACATGATAATGCTTCTAGACTTCTAATTAGTTGTGGGATAATTGAAATGGAAAGGATCTTATTTAATTGGGAAAACAAGGTGAATAGCTTGAGCTGGCCCTTGGGAATGAACATGGTACAAATTACAGTAGCAAATCTGAAACAGGCGTCCTTATTTCAGAGCCTACTAAGACTACCTTGACTTCAAAAATTAAGCTTTTCCTATGTAATAAGGAGGGTGGAAAATGCTTGGCTGATCCCCTTGCTCCCACTAGTGGGATCCCAGGAGAAAGTTAATCTTTTATTCTTGACTTAGAGATGCCCAAAGTGGGATAATGCCATTCCAAAAAAGTCCTTCCATCTGTCTGCAGAAGGATTCTCACCAGCCAGATTTTGTATGAGGTAGAAGTGTCCCTCATGCCTCATACAAACTAGCTGACAAGACTTGGCTTTACAGCACAACACTCTTGCTGATAGGCAGCTTTTGTCCTCCCCATTCCCTGTTATGCCTTCCTGATGGAAGGGCTCTGGCCCCAGACAGGCTGCTCCTGCTCAGAGTAGCCTAGTTGGAGCAGGGGCTGTATGTGCAGAGCAGTTACTCAGGTGCCATCTCAATGCAATATCATGGTTATATTTATCCAGAGGAATAGGATGGTTGGAAAACCAGATAATGCAGCTCCCACGGACCGTGCAGAGAAACATACAGCAGGACACACCAAACGGCATTGTCAGCTGCTTCTGTCAAGACAAACAACTCAGGGCTGGCTCTGAAAGACGTAAGCAAACTCCTTCGGGTCTGCTCAGGGGTCTTGTCACCAAGTTCCAGGGCTGGGAGCTCTTACCTGTGGGGCAGCTGCAGAGGAAAGGCCAGCCCAGCTCTGCAGCAAGCAGCCCATCAAGGCATGTTGCTCAGCCCCAGACACGCCGTGTAGCACCACTCGCACTTTAATCCCTTTGGACAGGTTCTGAAGGGCTTTGGAATCAGCTGCTTGTCAACAGCACACAGGTATAAAGCGGCAGGAGATGGCACCCAAGAACATGCAAGACCAATGCAACTGTTTGTGTACACTGGGAGTGCCTTGTTACACAAGCATGCTGCCCAATACGCAGCTCCCCGTGTTCACTAGCTGCCTAAAAATAGGATGATGTTATGATGAAGAGC